ATATCAGATTCATTTTTATTCGATTACAAACATATCGGGAGGTTTATATAGGGTCATATATCTCGGCTATACTAATTTTATATTTACATGCATATGCACGTCGCCTGGCTAAATCGGTTTGTGGCATGACGTATATCATATCACATGTATCACCCTAGATCCCCTGCCAGTTCCTCAATAGTTCTAGGAGTGTTCCAGAAGCTGGCGAGTTACTATAAATCACGAGATGATCGATCAGTCAGATTTTGCGCGGTAACTAATCCACTATTATTCAATTTCACTGTAGACGTAGTAGATTATACTACATATTATTTGTATTACTTGTAATGCACGTGTAGTTTAAAAATCAATCAAAATTATTTATTATATTTTTGTAAACTATTACATGAGAAAAGATCAGGAGAAAATACCACAAAAACTAAGATCTCTATAATATAATCAAATACAAAATAGACTATATGTAATACAAATGAACTTATACACCTTGAGATATGAAGATGTCATCTAAATTATCTTCTTCACTTAAGCCTAAGTTAATAAAAGCATTTAGCTATAATCTTTATGTAACGTTAAAAATTCTAGTATCATGATATTAAAACATTTACCTGTAAAAGAGGACGAATCATTAGAGCCAGATACAGGAGTAATATTTAGAATATGCAGGGCCAAAATTCTTAAATATCCTTCAAGGTGGTCAAGTTTTTCACAGATGGTAAGGATCTCATCATTTGATCGAGTATGTCTATTAAGCTATTCACTAAAGCGAGCTGTATTTGTCATAAAATTATCATATTGCTCGTCATTCGCTGACCAAACACGTCCTTCGATATTAAGAAGCTTATCGTATAATGCCAACATGTTTTCATGGTTCTCAGTGTTAACTTCGTTGAACTTTTTGGTCAGATATGTTTTAATTTCATCATTCAAACCCGTTTCCTTACTATAGAGTTGATTAAGAAAGGCATCTGTACTCACTTCTATGTTTTCTAAAGTAGAATTGATATCGCGAAACTTCTTGTTAAAAATTAATTCTAAATGAGTTTAAACCGCCATACTGGCTTGTGCGGGGTCAATATTAGTGAGTTGTTGTCTACTAACACGTAAGATGTGCCAGATAGTAGTGAAAATGGATCCAATGAATATTAAAACATAAATTACTTCAGAAGTATTGAACAAGACTTGAATACTTTGCATTCCCATCTATGAATAAATGATGTGATTAGATATAGTTATTCCAGGGAAAGGGAAAAAGCAATACATTACCATATTCTTGAATAATTTTCAATTTTATTTTTTCTTGCAAAAAGGATTTTGCATTGCTTTTATAGGTTTTGGGTCTCTTACGACACAGAACAACAACATAATCTCATTACAATAATTTTAATAACACTAGCAGTCTCAAGAAAGTCCCATTATTTCACTAGCCGTTTAGGCGCTTCACATATTTTCCCTTTTTGATGTCCACCAGCTCTTCCGCAATCAGGAAACACAAAATATATCTTTTTGGCCGAAGACGCTAAAGCAAAATCTAAAAAAAACAAAATTTTAAAATATGTAAAAATTTATATATATATATGGTTTAGATCAACATGTGACATCCAACGGACACCCAAAGGATGTCACGTAAAATACAGGCTTCTAAAAATGAAATTATGTTTTTTTATTAAGGTTGACATGGCCAAGTCAATACATAATTGTATAAAAATCTTATGGGGTAACCCGAATTCAAGAACTGGGCTTCTTAGTCATATTTTCCCCCACAAGTCTTATTATTTAACGACAATTCGATATAATATTATCTATATCTTCTCTTCTTAGTTCTAAGAAAAAAGAAACGGGAGGGGTGATTCTATATATTTTATCTATTCCAATTTCATTAAAAATTTCATAAATAACACGAGTCCTTTTATTTTTCTGCGGACAGTATGTTAGGAAAAAGACCTTCTACTTCACTATTAAGAGCCTCTCGAGCATTATGATCATTACCAGTCACTTGTACTAACATTTCGTATCGATCTACAAGTACTGCTCTAAATCGTAAATTAGATAATACTGCTAGATAATTAGCATTTCTTGCATTTGTTTCTGCACCCTCAGATTCAAGATATAGGTTGTAAATTCATTCCAAAATCCCACTAGAAATCTTACCCTGATGACTTTGTAAATCAGTAACTATAAAACTTTCGTTTGGGACTGTGTTTAACTCCTGAATAATAAGCGGAACATTGCGTTCTAAATATTCTGTACGTCTATTTCGTCTAGATAAGGCTGATTCACTTTCTCTAGATAAAATAGCTGATAAAGATACTGATTCTTCAGTTAAGTTAGTAGGTCTTGCAGAGCGAGTCGGGTTTCTACGTCTTGTATTTTGGTTAAGAGAAATGGTAGAAGAATCTGTTGTGTTTGGAATAAGAGGGGTATTAGAAGAACTAGCGATATTTGATGATAATTCTATATTAATATTTGGAGAGTTGAGAGGTATTTCTAGTGTAAGATCAGGATTGAAGTCAGTCTGAAAATTGGTAAGGACATCGTAATCTATCCGCATATCTACATTCGAATACTCGATTTCTTCCACGACTTGTATGCTTGACTCACTTGCATTGACTGTATCTTCAGAAACACCAATTTCTATAGGCTTATAACATTTGGGGCAATGCTGTCTATAGGAATATTCAGATACGAAACATATGAAATGTAATATATGCTTGCAAGATAGCCTAACATATGTTTGCATTAAAGTAATTTCATTAAGACAGATGCAACAAGTAATACTTTCAGGTGGGTCAACACCATTGATAAGAAGTTGTGAAGCTTGTTCTAATATAATTCTTAAAGCAATACGGGCATCCTCTAAGAGTGATTCCATACTCAAAGAGAGCCCTGAATTGTATTTTTTTTCATATCCCTCCTTAAATACAAATGAGTGTGGGAACTTAACGCTAATCCACCCCTTGTAAAACAAAGATCAGACTGGTCTAATACATAATTGACTATTTGACCGAGATTTGCATCGTTGTACATTCGCTAAAAATTATTCCAATCACTACTCCAGATATACATGTGCCAAAATTTCACGTAACCCGCTTGCTCATATATTAATAAGATAATAATACTTTATTTATGAAATAAAACGTTGTCGGAACTCAGCCTACAATACATAAAAACTATTACATAGCATGATAATGAAATAGGTCTTAGCCATGAAGTATAGATAAAAAATTCTAACTAGTCGCTAGGGAAGAATTCAGATATGGATACAGTCTTCATCAGGCGTCTCGTTAAAATAGGAAAAAATCCTATCTTCTGTTCGCATAGGCTTCTCCTCAGGATAAATTTAGCAGAGGAAGTCGTTACGATTGATTGCTCCTAGCTTTTTTCTTACTTCTTCTTCAAGATCAGAGACTGTTTTATCCTTGGAAATCTCAATCGCGAAGAGTATATTTTTATTTCTGGTATTATGATAGCAAAAGTTAAGACTCACAATATCATTATCTACGCTGGTAGACATCTTGTTTTCCTAAATATAAGACTCATAGTGAGAAAAAGCTTGCATTCATACATACACAACTTCTGGCATACAGTCAACTCTTGTTATATCGAACTCTATGTCTTAGATCTCAACTTCACTATAAGGCTATAGTGAAGATTTTAAGAGATTTGATTGGCCAATTCGCTATAACAAGAGTATTTTTATTATATTTGTTCAAAAAATTCGTTATATCAAGAGTTCGCTATATCAAGAGTTGACTGTATACATACCTTAGCGAAGCACTTACAGGTAAATTTTTGAGGAAAGTTGGCTGAACTTCCACATATCTCTACATGCTTTATATCTTGCTGAGAAAAAGATAAGGAGGTATGAGGCGTAATTAGTATTGTCATATGATGCCAAGAGTCCCTTGAAAGCACATGCAAATGGAATTTTCATACCTTTTCACATATAGATCTACCGGAGAGATGCTAAGGTAGTTAGTTCTTGTAGATCTCGAAATTGCGAGTTCCTCAGCCCTTCATAATATATGATTTTGACGTTAATATTTACTTTTAGAGCTGGTCCTGTGTTGCTTGTAGACATTCTTTCACATTTTCTCATGATTGTTTGAGAAAAAAAAATAAAGAATAAAGGTTAATATGTTTTTCGAATATATATGCAACAATTATTATGTAGCACAAGACCTGACTGATGATCCACTTATTTTTTGTCGCACAATCTATGGCTCAGCAAAAAATCTTTTGAGCTGACGATCACCACTCCAGACTATTGATCTAACTAACCCTGGATCGGAATACCACTGCAAATTATCTCGTATACTTAAATCTAAATGCCTCTGAAGGTCCTGAGCTAAAGTCTGTCTACTAGCAACGTTATTCTGCGTAAGATGATTTATAACCACTCCAATGAGATCAGGGGGCGTTAAAGTTTTCTCAAAATTCTCTACGTAGATATTTGAATTTAGCTGATCTATAGCTTCTTTGCTAATTTTATAACACCCTTTCAGATTAAGATATTTTAAATTGAGACATAATCTAGCAATTTTCTCAATAGTTATATCAGTGATTTCACAATAGGTAAGATCAAGTTGTTGGAGTCTTGGGCAAGAGCGAACAATATTACAAATTGATATTTCAGAAAATTCTGTATGGTTAGAGATATTTAAATATTCTAGTTTCTGGCATGATTCTGCGATTGCAGTTAGACCTATATCATTTTTTCCTCATAATCCCGTAAAGTGGATATATTAAGATACTTCAAATTTAGGTATGATTTCACTATTAGCTTTAGAACTTTACCTATTTGGTTTGTGCTTCCTTCGAGATCTAAATAAATTATATTTTGAAAAGTATGCACAATGCTTTGATTTTTTTATTAGAAAGTCAGTAGTGCAATATTTTAAGATGAGTTAATTTCGAACTATAAATTGGTTTACGCCCTCCTCTGGATACTATTTTTAAAAATCTTTTTAATTGAGTTCGATCATCCACACCATTTAGCTCAATGTGTTTTCATAGAATAGAAGCACTGTATTTGTATCACAATCGGCAAACAAATAGAGTATGGTAGAGAGATTTATCTATCAATAAGAAATGTAAAATCTGCTTTAGTAATTCCTATATATTAAACATGTCTGTATGCGTTATATATCATCCGTATTATATGTTGTATCTTCAAACTAAAAAATAAAATAGCAAAGCACCTTACCCTGAGTGCCTTCGGCCAGGGAAATTATGCGATCTACTGCTCCAGATTGAAATTTATTTCTGAATTTTAGCTAACATCGCATCAATTTCAGCTAACATTGAATCCATTTCTGCTATCTGTCCCTTGAAAGGGTTATAATCATCATTTTTAGGCTGAGGTATCAGGCGTGGTGTATTTTCAGAATCAGAATCAGAATCAGGGCTGGATTCCTCCGATTCTGTATCGCCTATAGCGTAATTATCACCTGCATCAAGACGGTCTGATTCTTGCCTCATTGCGATTCTCGAAAGCAGTTTAAGATGCTGAAGAGTTGGTTTCTTACCACCATGAATTCTAGAAGCGTGTTTAGCTTCATAATCTCTTAATTTTTCAGATATAGTTCTATAAGGCTTTTGCTTTAAGAATTCGTTAAATAGCTAAGTATTACGTGTTCCACTTTCAGTATAGACAGGATCACGTAACTTTTTAGCCTTAATTGCATCTCGAATCCAGATGAGTAATTCCCTGGCACGTTCTGGATTCTTCTCCATGGAAAGAAATGGTCGGGGCTCAGGATTCTCCTTTTTTTCTCCTCTACTCTTTAAATAGTCTGTACAGTACCAAGAATAGCCTTCTTTATACCATGCTGGAATATTCGAAGGATCCAGTTCATAGTGATTGATCTGAAGAGATCTCACTTCCGCAGGTCTCATGCTCAACATCACAATCACATCCGCGAGATCTTCTCTAGTAGGAATTTTAGATACATCTATATTCTGAAGCCTTTCAGTTACCCTTGCTAAGGAAAAGTGTATTGGAATTCTATCCGGATTAGCCATTCATTTCTTAGTTCATTTCTTCTGAATTTTATTAGAGTCTTGAATAAGTTCCTTATCTTTGGCAAATGCTTTAATAATTGCGGAATCTACACCACCTTCTGCTAACTTTACACGAAATGTTGACTGTCACGAGACACCGGCAACGATTTCATTTTCATCTTTATTTTTCAGGCCTAATTCTAAATGATAAGCGAAAATATCTAAAGCAGTACCGGTCTTAGCACAGTATTCCGCCCTCACCTCTATAGTGAGGTTTTTCTTTCTTTTATCTGGTAGAAGAGCCTCTATTTTCTCTTTACTAAACTAAGGAAATGGTAACGGCCGTTGTTAAGTCCGGAGCTCAGACATACGCATTCACGTGACAATAGTAAGCAATCATTAAAAAAATTTAAA